TTTTTTCCCCCCAAATCTCCCTTTTTTCCCCAAAATCTCCCTCTTTTTTCCCCCCAAATCTCCCTCTTTTCTCCCAAATCTCCCTCTTTTTATCCAAAACTCCCTTTTTCCCCCCAAATCTTTTTCCCCAAATCTCCCTCTTATTCCCCCAAATCTTTTTTTCCCCAATCTTTTTCTCCCAAATCTCCCTCTTTTCATCCAAATCTCCCTCCTTTTTTTCCTAAATCTCCCTCTTTTCTTCCCAAATCTCTCTCTTTTTATCCAAAAATCCTTTTTTTTCTTCCCCAAATCTTTTTTCCCATATCACCCTCTTTTTTTCCTAAATCTTTTTTCCCCAAAATCTCCTTCTTTTTTCACAAATCTCCCTCTTTTTATCCAAATCTCCCTTTTTTCCCAAAATCTTTTTATCCAAATCTCTCTCTTTTTTTTCCTAAATCTCCCTTTTCCCCCAAATCTCCCTTTTTCCCCCAAGTCTCCCCCCTTTTTTCCAAGTCTCCCTCTTTTTATCCAAATCTCCCCTTTTTTTTTTTTTGCCAAATCATTTTTTCCCCAATCTTTTTTTCCCAATCTCCCTCTTTTTTCCCCCAAATCTCTCTCTTTTTATCCAAATCTCCCTCTTTTCCCCCGATTTTCTTTTCCCAAATGTTTTTTTCCCAAATTTTTTTCCCCCAAATCTCCCTCGTTTTTCCCCAAATCTTTTTTTCCCAATCTTTTTTCCCCAAATCTCTCCCTTTTTTCTCGTCTCCCTCCTTTTTTCCCAAATCTCCCTCTTTTTATCCAAATCTCCCTCGTTTTTCCCCAAATCTTTTTATCCCAAATCATTTTTCCCCAATCTCCCTCTTTTTTCCCCCAATCTCCCTCTTTTTTTTCACAAATCTCCCTTTTTTCCCAAATCTTTTTATCCAAATCTCCCTCTTTTTTCCCCAAATCTTTTTATCCCAAATCATTTTTCCCCAATCTCCCTCTTTTCCCCCCCAAATCTCCCTCTTTTCTCTTAAATCTCCCTCTTTTTATCCAAATCTCCCTTTTTTTCCCAAATCTTTTTATCCCAAATCTCCCAAATCTTTTTTCCCAAGTCTCCCTCCTTTTTTTCCAAGTCTCCCTATTTTTTTCCAAAATTTCCCTCTTTTTTTCTCAAATCCTTTTTTCCCAATCTTTTTCCCCCAGATCTCCCTCTTTTTTCCAAAATCTTCCTCTTTTTATCCAAATCTCCCTCTTTTTTTCCCAGATCTTTTTCCCCCAAATCTCCCTCTTTTTATCCAAATCTCCCTCTTTTTTTCCCAGATCTTTTTCC